TTCTCCCTTGCTCCCAAAGGGGAGCCATCTTAGATGGCTGCTCACAGGCTTTTAAGACCCCAGACGCTACTCACCAAGGTAGAACGTAGAACATTTTCTTTATAAACTATGTTATGCCAATTGAGCTAGATGTTCCCCAAGACTAAGCCAACTTCTTTTGCCACCACCTTTTTTGTTCACTAGTAGCTGAGCTTTGACATTTGAAGCTCACTTCTGGACGATATTAACCCAAAGGAGCAAATCTTCGCTTAATTACATTCCTATTCTCTTCCCTTGGTCAGGAGACAATCAATAGAAGTCTACACATTAAAAAAAAATCCTAGCAATAAAACTATCCATTTAAGTAGTAAGCCTATCTAAGGACTGAGAACGTGCGACATAATGTAGGGTTACATGTGTGGGGCTTTACTCTGTATGCCTTCACTTACCAAAGCCTATTAGTTCACTAAAACATATCCTTACTGATCAATACGTGTGTCTAAAGAAGACAAATGTTTAAATATGAAACCAGTTTGTTTTAAAACTCAAACAAACTGGTGACTTAGATAAATTAGCATGACATGAAAGGAGGCAAACTTTTATTTACCTTGGAGAAAGAACTATTAGGAGTTAGAGTAGGCTTGCTGCAGGGCTCCACAATGTGATGACCTGAGAGGAATAACAAAATAAGTAAGGGATGAGTCAGTTAAAAACAAAATAGAGACATCAAAACTATGCAAGAAAAAGCCACATTTCTGTGGATGCTATTTTTATTAGTACACTAAAAGTCATATCACAAAGTAATTTCAAACTGAGTAAACAGAATCAAATATTAGAGAAAATTTTATCCCAAGAAGAGAGCCAATTTCTTAAAAGAAAACATTTCACATAAAAGCCCAGATCAGGCCGAATGGTTTAAGTGTGAGGTACTGAAAATAAATTATTCCAACCTAGTGGGAAGAGACATCACAGGTGCTGAACTATATTCACTTTACTATTTACGAGAAGATAGTCTTTTACCTCCTTTCATAAAGGCTATCAATTTAAAACAGGTAAGTTATGGATACAACCAAAAAGGGCTTTTAATATATTTCTAAACAAAAAGGTAATTTTAACTCTTAGGCATTAGTATAAAAATCCAATACATACATATTAAAAATGAGTAATTATGTCTCTCTTACAGTCAAAAGTCACATATTTAAAAATATTTTGATTCATTATATTTTCCAGAGATTTAGAAAGATATGAGAGTATAAAAATATTAAAAAAAAAAGGAAGATGAATGCAGACAAGTGTATTCAAGGACTTCTACCTTTTATGTAAAAAAAATCCGAAATATAATTAGTACTCTTCTACCAAGAGAGATGAAGGTTGAGATGGAAGTTTTAGGGGTAAACCTTTATAATTTTGTGGCTGATGTTACAAAGGGTGCAAAAATGTCTTTAAGCATCACTTTTAAGAGATAGAATGCATTTATTAAACTTCACCTAGGAAAAATGAGAAACTACACCAATTATAAACCACTGGTTAAAAAAAATTATATCAGAGTAACATAAAACATAATAACTTATTTTCTGTAATCCCTCCCTCCTCTCCTCCTAACCATCCTCTCCCCTGCCACTGTCTCCAGGCAACCACTGATCTGTTTTTTGTCACTATAGATTAATTTGCAATTTCTACAATTTTGTATAAATGGAATCATACATTATGAATTTTTTTTTGGGGGGGGGTTTGGCTTCTTTCACTCAGCATAATTATTTTGAGGTTATTTTAATTATGTTGTTCCATGTGTCAACAGTTCATTTCTTTTTATTGTTGAGTATTATTCCGTTCTATGGATAGACTACAATTGGTTTTTCCATGCCCCCTTCTCTGGACATTTGAGTTCTTTCCAGTTTTTGGCTATTACAAAGAAAGCCACTAGGAATATTTCTGTATAAGTCTTTGTATGGATGTATCCTTCCTTTTCTCTTGAGTAAATAAATACCTAGGAGTGGAACGGCTAGATTACATGGTAGGTCTATGTTCAAACTTTTAAGAACGTGTCAAACTATTTTCAATAGTGGTTGTACAATTTTACATTTCCACCACTGTATGAGAGTTCCTACTATTGATACTATATGACTTTCAGAACTCATAAAGAAATTAGTTCTATGGGAATAAAGTCAAAGAACCATACAGACAGATCACTGGGCAATTTCCACAAGGGTGGCAGGGCACAGCCACTCTCTTCAGTCTTGAAAATTTTAAAGAGAAGTGTCTTGGTCATCCAGTGCTGCTATAACAGAAATACCACAAATGGATGGCTTTAACGAACAAGTTTATTCTCTCACAGTCCAGTAGGCTAGAAGTTTGAATTCAGGGTGCCAGCTCCAGGGGAAGGCTTTCTCTCTCTGTTGACTCTGAAGAAAGGTCTTTTTCTTTTTTTTTAAATTTTATTTTATTGTTGTACTTTAAGTGAAGGTTTACAGTTCAAGTGAGTCTCTCATACAAAAATTTATACATACATTGTTATGTGACCCTAGTTGCTCTCCCTATACTGTGACAGCACACTCCTCGTTTCCACCTCGGATATCCCGTGTCCATTTAACCAGCTCCTGACCCTCTCTGCCTTCTCATCTCACCTCTGGACAGAAGTTGCCCATTTAGTCTCATGTATCTACTTAAGCTAAGAAGTACACTCTTCACTAGTATCATTTTATGTCCCACAGTCCAGTCTAATCTATGAAGAGTTGGCCTCGGGAATGGTTTTAGTTTTGGGGTAACAGAGTCCAGGGGCCATGTATTCTGGGGTCCCTCCAGTCTCAATCAAACCATTATGTCTGGTCTTTTTTACTATAATTTGAGTTGCACACCCCACTTTTCTCCTTCTCCGTCAAGGACTGAATGTTCTGTTCCCTGTTAGGACAGTCATTGGTGGTAGCCAGGCACCAGCTAGTGTTCTTCTGTCTCAGTCTGATGCAGTCTCTGGTTTATGTGGCCCCTTCTGTCTCTTGGGCTAATACTTTCTTTGTGTCTTTAGTGTTCTTCATTCTCCTTTACGCCAGGTGGATTGGGACCAACTGATACATCTTAGATGGTGGCTGCTCACTAGCTTTTAAGACCCCAGACACCACTCACCAAAGTAGGATACAGAACATTTTCTTAATGAACTTTGTTA